AAATTCAATCGGAACTCGAACTTTTTAGGATTTGATCCGGAGTCCGGAACGGATTAAGTTCGAGAACCGAGGTACCACTGTAATGGCTACTATTTTTACTCTGTTATGGAAAAACCACCATGCCATAGAATAACCTTGTATCCAAAGTAGCAGTTCTATTTCTAGATACAAACATGCAAACAAATAAACATGCATGGGGGGGGGGGGGGGGTGGTTAAGGGCACTTGCTCAGGGGCCTACAGACCTGTGATTGTTCTGCCAAGGCTGGGGCTTGAACCAGCAATCTTCTGATCACAGGCACCAAGACCCCACAGAGCCAAACACCCACCCCCCGGGGAATAACTGCTGATATGAGCTTGGTAGCCATGACATAATGGCCCTTACAGGTGTTATACAGTAACAGGTTTTCCAAGCTGCCTTACATTGTCGGAGAGGGGTCTGCATGCTGAGCCCTGCGTCCTGTTCACCAACAGGGAGATCAGGCCTGACTCAGACATTGTGCCCTGATCAAGGTGAAGGTCTTCCTGTCCAGTATGCTGTAGGTCCTCAGCTGTGCAGGTTGCCAGTTTGGACTCAAAGCCTTCTGTGAGTGTGAACTCCAGCATCTGACCGCAGAACAAAAACTGCTAAAGACAAACTGCCAGCTACTGCAGCTCAACAAGTATATTGTTGTGGTTACAATGTAAAGGTTGTGGGTTCCAAGCCCAAGGAGTACACATAAGGTACTCTTCCCTTTACCGTCAATCACTTTGGTTAAAACCCTCAGATAAATGAAGTAAAACATAGGAACTGAGTCCTTGAGGTAATTTCAAAACTACAAGACTATTCACAATACCCTGAAGAAGACCCGCTGGAATTGGTGGTCGTCTGTGCCCATGTCCCCGATGATGATGTGTGAAACGCAGTGGAGAAGCAGCAGCGAGAAACTGCCTGCAGACCGCAGCCGCTGACGGCGAACAAAGAGGGTGCTGCCAGACTCCTATACAAACAGCCCATGGGTTACTGCTGCAGTGTGACACGCGAAGCCCACTCTTCATTTCGAGAGTATATTTTGATTTACTCAGTCCTTTGAAAAAAAAAATGCAACTTAATTGCAATCAAAAGATTTACAAGTTATTCATATCATAAGAAAAAACACCAGAGCATCAAACTTGAATAAAGAAAACTGAAATGTCCAATCTCAAAAATGTAAGCAAGTATCAGATTAGTGCAAACCAACTGAGCTGTGTTTATTTCTTAGTTCAGTTCACAACAGTGAACTTTTCAATCACATTAAAAGAAAAAGCATTTGTTTCTATTCATGTCATTGAACTTAAACGTTGTGGTGTTATTCCCCTTCACTGTTGCTCTACATGGTTTGCACTCTTGTTTCACTCTTGTCTTGTTTCCATTCGCATCAAACTTTTTTCGAAAAAATAAAAATCCTTGACCTCAATGGCACAAACTAGGCTTGAGCAGTATCAATTTTTTCCACTGTCATACAGTTGACGGTTAGCTGTTGACTAATGTGTCAGTACATTTCATCATTTTTGGCATTATAAATTAATTTTTATCGAACTCTTGTTTTTGTTAAAAAATCTTTGTTGATGAATATTATAACTTTCATCATAGTTTTCATCAATAAAATGAACACTGGCCCAGTCATATAGATCTCTGTAAAACACAGGGGGAAGAACAGAAGGAGTTGCCAGTTACAGAAATCTGCTTGCAGGAAATGAAACTCACCTCCTTTGAGTTATTAATCAAAACAATTTTACTGTAATGAACTCATTGGTGCAGGAGAGAATTTGATATTGCCAGGGACACAACTTAATGATTTAAATACAAACATCTATTTATTGCAGGGGAAGAATGAAGCCAATTTAAATACTGGAAGCTTCACATCCCCCTCTACCCCCTGACCCCTACACCCCTAGATGACCCTATAAAATGCTGTCGGAGCTCCTTTTTCTACTAGTCCCATGGCAGGAAGAGCAAAATGAACAGGTAGTTAAAACTGATGTAAAAAATGTCACAGGTTAGACAACAGTCAATGGTCCATTTCTCACTTCATTTTCTCACATTAGAAGAGGATCTGGCAGCACTTACTCTAGGAAAAGAGAACCGCGGTGCTAAGAGGATCCAACTGCACTTACAGTAGAACAGTTACAGTACAGTAGAATGCAGCTCCAAATCATGATTCTTCTCTTTTCCAGGCATTTAGTTTCATCGAAACTGTAGCCGTTGGACAGAAGACCTCACATTTACCTCTCAAATAAAGATGAGTTTATGTTCCACAGAAAAACTGCAAAGTGCCCAGGTTTCTGGGTACCAAACAAGCCCACATCATTACCACTCCACCATGGCTGGTGGGAGGCATGTGGTAGCTGCAAACGGGCTTCTAAATTAGCTTATTAATTCCACAGGAAGCAGTAAGGGCGTCTTACTTCTCATCCCATGGCTTTTGTATTTTGACTTACTTTTGGTTTGTCTTGCAAAATTTGAAATGTCTTATATGCCTTTGTGATTTGCCTTATTTTAGAAGTTGGTGAGGATCAGATCATTGTTATTTGTGCCCTGATATGTAAGACATGTAAAGGCATGGGAATTTTTTAAAAGCACATTATTGCAAGTGCAAGAGGACTTCATACCTGTTTCCAGCAAGAATAAATCTA